GACTTGAGACCAACTCGAGTTGCAACCAGAGTCACGGAACGGATTAAGTTCGTATCCCGAGGTACCACTGTATTACGCAGTCTTTTCCTTGTAAACACTGTGTGTTTACCAAGGTTATGATGATTTGGAGAAATCACAAATTAAGCCAAGTTATTGTTCTGGTAAAGTTACCATCAAAGTCTTGTCTTAGACAAGGCACAGGTGTCTGTGGTGGGCAAAAGGGGAGACAACAGATGACACAGATTCATGACACTACCAGTGTTCTAATTATCTACTTGTGCCAGACATCATGTACATAGTTGTGTCATTTGCATGATGACATCGTGAGTTATGCATTGTCATTTTGATATAATTGTGACTTCTTACAAATGCCCGTGCTTAAGGTGCCCTTTTTTGCAGTCTGAATGCAGACAGGCAGCATAAGGAAAGCGAGAGGCCAACTTACTGGAAAAAGCATTAATGTAGAATTTGTACCAAAGTGTAACAAAGCAGACTTACTCTTCACGGTTGCTATCTTAATTTCCACTTTGCCAATTTCCCAGTTGCTAAAAATCAGTTACAACTAACCGTTTAGTTTAAATCAATGCCAAGTGGAGTGGCATTTGAGTATTTAATACAGGGAGGCTGTATTAATGGTATACGGTATAAGCATGAAGGGTTCTCACCACTTCACAACAACACTGGATTACCCATTTACCTTTGACCACCTGCTTTCTTTGCAAAGCAGATCTGCATACCGATAGGCTTGAAGCCAGTTCTGCTGGAAGGAGTAACACCACATCAGTTCCCAGTAGCAGAGGTGATGGATCTGTCTCCACTCTTGTTGAGCTGCGATGCAGTTCTGGAAGGTTACCTGAGCCTAGAATTGAAAGGGATGCAAAGGTCAACCATATTCTCTTAGAAGAACGTTTCCCCTTCAGATTATGGCCTTTTATTTTTATTTGATATAAAAGATAGATACCAAAAACAAAACAAAAACAAAAAAACAACAACCCACTTTATAGTTCATGATTTCAGAATATTCAAACAAACAACTACAATCTGGTGTAATGTATGGATAGGTGGAGTGGATACAGCCATCTGGAACAGTCTGTGTAAAAACCTTAAGATGGGCTTTACAAGAATGGTTTCATAGGTCAGATTTAGTAACCAAAGAAATGGCATGTTTGATTCTTACCTAGTTTAAACTTTTATGTGGGGTCTGCGGTATTATATGAAAAACTGAAAACATGAGGACTTGCTTCTTACAGAATTAAATCTTAATGTGGCTATTGATTCCTGTAGACTCGAAGTCCAGTAGAGGAATGTTATCTCATAATTTGGCAGAGTAACAGCTGTTATTTTGGCTCTTTGCACTCTCACATATTATTACTGAAATTGATCATTACGAGCATTTTATCAAACAGCAGTGCTTGAGTTTTCTTTTCCTCCTCCCATTTTTTTCTCTTCTTTGACTTTTTAAGCCCGTGAGCAGGGTCTTCTTATAATTAAAGGGTTTTTTATTTTAAAAGGGACAATCCACTGTTACCTTTTCAAAATTTCCTTTCAATACGTTGATTCTGGCATCGTAAAACAGAATGAGGGCACCCTTGAGAAAAAGATTACAACTGTGTTAGTAAGGTAGAAACGGTTAACTATAGTAAAAAAAAATAACAAAAGTAACAATGTGAAATAACAAAACCTTTGGGAACTTCTGAAGGTAAGGCTGAAGGAGAGCCTCTGCTTCTACAAGATTGGCTTCTCCTGTTCCTGTAGAGATAGCAACATCCTCTCTCAGTATTGATAACTGTATAATACATTGATTTGTACAAACTAATTAATGTACAGTATTGTTGGAAAAATTAAACCTATTGTAATGAAATGTAATAAAAGTTGCCATAATACAGTAGAAGATTACAGTACAGGAAGACATTAGTAGTGAAACAGGACACTGACAGATACTATACTGAAATCACACATCAGTTTTATTTTTTAAAACTAATCTCCACATTTAAGGCTTAAATATGCGTTCTCTTTTTCCCTTGCTTTTTTAAAGAACTATCGGGACAAAAAAGAAGTTAAAAAGAAAAATGAAGCAGGAATAAAGCCAAAAGGAAAAAAAAAATTGAAAATCTATTGCTGTCTGAGGTCTTGAAAAGCACAGATGTTATATTTCTATCCAGAATGACATTTATGGAGATGATCAATTAGAAAAACCATTGTTAATATAGTTAATAAATGATCAGATTTGACTAAATCTAAAATAAATAAATGTTGGGATGATAAGAATTATATGCCATAAAAAGTTTCAAAGAGATTTGAGTTCAGATCTGTAATCATCTGCCCAGTTTTTTTTAAGACTTTCAAAAAGAACCTGTTGTGTTTAATGTAAGAGTTTTTATATAAGATTACTTTAAAATAAAGTAGATGTCTACCATTTTTCAAATACTGTTAATTATCTTACCTGATGAGATCTAGATAGTTTATAAAGGAATGATTAAACTTCTCCTTTAAAATTACAGGTAATCCTTGACTTACAACCATTCGTTTAACAACCATTCAAAGTACAATGGGGCTGAAAAAAGTGACTTACGTCCAGTCCTTGCACTTATGACCTTCACATGATCAAAATTCGAGCACTTGGCAACCAGTGTGTATTTACAACAGTTGCAGTGTCTCAGGGTCATGTGATCGCCATTTGCCACCTTCCCATGGGGCTTCCGACAAGCAAAGTCAATGGGGGAGGCCAGATTCACTTAACAACCACATGATTTGCTTAACAACCACACTGATTCACTTAACAACATGGCAAAAAAGGTTGTAAAATCAGGCACGACTCACTTAACTGCATCACTTAGTGACAGAAGTTCCGGTCTCATTTGTGGTTGTAAGTTGAGGACTATCTGTAAATTGGAGCTTGTGACCTATTCTTTTGCAAAATACATTCAGCAGTAACGGGTTTTTAATCATTATTTACTGTAGGTATCCAATTCTATAAAAATCTCTATCTTCCCATTCTTTGTACTGATGGAACTGCTTTATCCTCAAAAAGTGCATGATTGAGGAATGGAAGAAGAAAGATCAGAAACCAAATACTGTTTCTAATTTTTCTGAACAACTGAAGCAAGTGTAAAATATGAACTAATTTGATACAATAGATATTCATTTCTTAATATATTCCTAACTGATAGGGAGTTCAGGGGTAACTTAATTTGCGTTCTCTGAATGTTATTTGAATTCTTAATAATATGAATGCTTTGAATTGAAAGGTATTAAAATTATTCAAATTGGTATGCCTAATTCCAAATCCCATCATGCTTTTGTTTATAAAAATCCTACATTTTAGTTATCAATAAATGAAAAGTTCTTTGCCTTATCATTCTTACTGTATTTCCCTCCAAAGGCCTAGTACAGACAGGCTTCTACCAAATGGTTAAAATAGCAAAAATCATACATGGGAGCATGTACTTCTTATTCTACCTAGAATATTTTTCCCCTTCCTTCTTCTGTCAAAATTATAGTTAAGCAGGTCAGTAGCACCGCCACTAATGTTAACTCATCTATGACTCCATACTGTAAATATGGCCAGTAGTGCTGCTGAAAATACAATCAAATAAAACATGTAAAATATTCTGTGAAAGAATTATACTAGGAATTATATTAGAATTAATGCTTCTCAATTATTTTTCACTGGAATTCATTTTCAATTCTTACCAAGGATTAATGAAACAAAGGTATGATATAGCAGTAAGGTGAAAGTACACATTATGGCCCGCAGACTACCGCCAGAAGCCCCTTCCCGTAACTGATGAAGACCACGTTCCTGTCAACAGTCACAAAATTGTATAATATAAGGCACAGTAGTCTACTAATCATTTCAAGTTGTAGAAAAGAAAGACACAAAAAAGAAACTTATATGAACACAGCATCAAGGGAGAATACCAACTGTGCCAGCACCATTTATGAGTGAAGTGATATAACTACTACAGATTATTCAAGGTAGGAATATTATGATTGGTTTCAGCATGAGTACAGATCTCTATGTGATCCACAACCTAAAGAAAGGTCCTAGATCAAATGGCAACTATTTTAGTGTTCAAGTGAATGTTCACAAAGCCCCCACTCCTCAAGCCTTCACACTTCTCTCCTGAATGTGTGGACCCAAGAGAGAGGAGGGGTCACTGTGGTGGGCACTGCTGTTCTCTCTCCACTTACAGCTCTCCACCTGTTCAGGCACAGAGCTAGAGAGGAAATACATAAATGGTTAATTGGAGAAAAGAGGATAGACAGACAAAGAAAGTGTTCAAAGGGCAAGTTCTGTTAATGTAAATAGTAGGTTACAGGAATTATTTTCCATTATTTTACAAAGTCTGATTTATTAAAAGCCACATTAAGAAAGACACTGAACATTTTTAAAACTGAAGATTTAAATCCTTTGTCTCAAGTTTTCTACATGCTTATCCCTATAATCAAAAGCAGATAGTCAATGGGAGCTGAAGATGATCCAGATATATTAATCACTCATTCCTGTCCTGGCAATCAGAGTTTGAAAGCCGTTTTAAGAATTAATAACAATAGAAACTAAATTTGATACCCTATTGCCTGAAAACCCAATAAATTCAAGAAGCCGGAGAATTCTTCCAGGTAGAAGGGACAGCATCTGCAAAAAAGGAAGAACAAAAATTTTATCTGTTTTTAGTGCATCATGCAAAAGAAAAATATTTAAAAATGAACAGACAATACCTTTAAAAATCCTTTAAAAATTTTTCAGCACCACCTTCAGATAACATTAGTAAAGTCCAGATGAGATGATACTATGGTTTTTTGGGTTTTTTTACTCTCTCAGCTGCATTTCTTTTTTGAATTATATGTCGTAAACTGTATGATTTAATGGTTTTATATTGTGGTTTTGTCTGAACTTTGTTTTCTGCCCAGAGTCACTCTGGTGAGAGGTACAGCCATATAAATCTAAACAAATTAAAACAAAAACAACCTCCCTCCCCCTCAACAACTCAAGGAGTTCTGTATTCAAGTAAAACAGTAAAACTGCAAATTATAGGAAGTATGGGTACAGATATTTTTAAAAGGTTATAGGGTGTAATGAAAGCACAATAATGTTTTGAAATGTGCAATATTATGTACCTTTTTTAAATAGCTCATGCATCAAAAGTTAGATTACACATTGGAAGGAATGTTCATACCAGATTGAAAGCTCCTATTCCTAGTTGTACGCCCCCTTCAAACTGGTGGAATATTTCATTCTTGGTTTTGCTGCTTCTGGTCATCTTCAGAATTTGAAGGCATTCTCTTTTGATTAAAAAAAAAAGCTAAGTTAGATTACAGCAATCTAAGTCATGCTAAGTTAGATTACAGCAATGGCAATATGAACTGCTATTATTTGGGAGATTTAGCTTACCATGCTATACCCTATACCTTTGTCTAAATTTAGATTAAATTTAGTATGTTTGCTCAGTTGTCCTGTCTAAATTATGTAGCACAAGGATTTTAGTGTTTTACAGAACAGATACTTGAGTGACATTATCAGAAAAATTCACATCTATTCAAGCAACTTCCATTATTTTCTATTCTAGATTCCCTAATTTATGATTTCAGAGCAACTGAAAATAACAGTGTAGCTAGGCAAACACTGGCTGTCATAGCCTATGACAGAGCCTATGACAGCCAGTGTTTGCCTAGCTACACTGTAATATTAGTGCTGGTAAGCACAGGGACTTTTTCTAAAAAGAAAGGAAGCTCTTTAAAATGATTTAATTTTTCTGCGGATAAACCTAGAAAATGAATATGTTTTTCATGTAGTTACTTGGTAATTATGAAAAGAAAGACAAATTTTCTTCCCAAATAATGATCATCATCTTACATTCCCTGATAATATTACAAGGTGGCAGAAGAAGATAGGAGAGAACAGAACCTGTCGCTGGGGTGGGGCGGGAGTGGAGCTGGACAGGTCCTCTCCTTGTGTACAGAGGACATAGCAAGCTAACTGAACAGAACTAGAAGTAGACTCACCTAGAAATAAGAGCACTGAACTCAGTGGGACTTACTAGAGAGTAAGCCTCCAGAGTATTTTTTCTGGTTTTACTACATTACAAAAACTTCCATAGACTTACAGGTAATCCTCGCTTAACAACGGTAATTGGGACCAGAATTTCCGTTGCTAGGTGATGTGGCTGTAAAGCACAACATCACGTGACTGCATCGCTTAGCAAGGGCAATCCCAGCAGTCCCTGTTACTGTTGATAAGGGAGAATGGTGGGTCGTTAAGTGAGGAATTCCTCGCAGTTTCCTGTTGGCTTCCAACAAGCAAATTCATTGGGAAAGTTGGCAGGAAGTTGCAAGTTCCAGGCAGCTTGCAAGCAGGCCGGTAGGCAGCTAAGCGGCTACTGCCAGGTGGGGGAGGGTGCACAGGTGGCTGACAAGGCACGAGGGTGATGGGGCTGGGGGTGGCTGCTGCTGGGTCAGGGAGCGTGTGTAGATGGCTGGCAAGGAGCCACACAAGTGCGGCCAGGTGCGGCTGTTGCCAGGCTGGGGAGACTTAATGGAGCGATTTGTGACCTTCCCTGCCAGCTTCCCCATTGACTTTGCTTGTGGGAAACTGTCAGGGAAGGTCACAAATGACATCACATGACCGCGGGACACTGCATCTGTTGTAAGTACGAGCTGGTTGCCAAGCACCCAGATTGTGATCATGTGACCGCAGGGGTGCTGGGACAGCCAGAAGTTTGAGGACTGGTCGTAAGCACCACTTGTTCAGCGCTGTGCTACCTTTAAACAGTCACTGAATGAGTGGTCATTAACCAAGGGCCACCTGTCTTTCTTACCACAAACAGAAAGAAAAAAACAGCCCCCCACTCTGAAGATCTCTTCCCCAGTTCCCATGAAGTAATCACCAGCCTATGGAGCAGTCTATAAATACTTGATATAAACCTCCAAATCTAGGGCTGAGAGAATGACTAGGTCAAAGTCACTCAGCTGGCTCCAGCGCCTTTAACTATTACACTAAACTGGCACCTATATATGCCCATATGCAAGGAGAAAAAAACCTCCACGTCTGATTTTAGTAGGATTTGACCACCCTAGATGGCAAGGTTCAGAGGGTGAACAGTATGGGAGATTTTATTGTGAGTCTGCAATACGTTATCCTGTCATATTGTCCATTAGGGTGTGGGATTACCTGAACTCTAGGGTTGGCTTTCTTCTGTGAAAATGCAAAATTCATGGACAATTTCTTCTACAGTCAACTTGTATGCTTCCGATTTGAAGATAAAATGGTGCTCTGGAGTGCAAATGTAGCACTTACCTCTAACTTCTTAAACCACATCCATAATCACAGGAAAAGAGGCATTTAAGTACCAGGAGTTGCAGGCAGGCACTGTGCATGTCTGCATGTGTGCCTCTGCACTCTGAAGCACCTTTTTGCCTTTAAATACAAAATGCTATACAGCTCAAATCCTTAATTAGTATCTTTACACATGTACAAATTTGGAAAAGGAGGGACAGGGGAGAAGGAAGGTAGGGAGACTGGTACTAGCTCTCAGAAGTGTTTTTTTTTTAAGTATAAACATCTTTTCTATATAATTCCTCAGAACCTAATTTAAAATCATAATCCAGTTTTTTTAATGCAAAGAAATATATATACATACTGACACAGAACTATAATCATGTCAGACAATCTCTAGCTCACTAAAATGAGTTGATAAAATGAGAAATTTTCTTTCTTTACAATCAGGAGCTCATAATTTCTTACACTGCTTTGTAGATTCATTCATGTCCACACCACGCATGAATCATTTTCCCCATGCCTACCCCAAAATGCTACTTCTTACATAGAAGACACAACATTTTGTGTCTTCTGTATTAATCTTTGTATCTCAAATGGCAGAATCACATAATTGGAAGTAACTCTAGCTATCTTGTTGCCCTGCTTAGCACATAATGCAACCATAACATTCTGCGTATCTAGTAGTAAGGATGCCAGTGAGCCAAGCTTAATTCCTGGTGTCTGTATCCCTGCAGTTTTCTTGATGGTATTATGGAAATGGTTTGCCAATGCATATCTACTCACAAGTAATTACCACTGGTATCAGATCAATATAAAACAATCCAAACATATACAAATTTCTCACTATTATATACGCTTTGTTCTGTGTTCTCTTTGTATATTCATAGTCATATTCTATTCTTGTCTTCATTCTTCCATCTGGCATGATTTTTAAAGGGGAGGGGAATGAAAAAGGACAGGACTGAAATGTCACTGGCAAAAGGGTAGAAAAATGTTTTTTTTTAATCTAGGAAATGTGTTTTTTCCCCACTATTTCAAGCTATGATGGGGAATCAATTTACTGAAACATGAAACACAAAATACACAACTGAAGTGAAATATTATAGGAGCGTACTTATATATTTGATAACTTGTCCTGATTTTAAGGCCACCTTTGATGAAACTGATCATATTTTCATCCTGGAAGAAAGCATACTTTAAATTAAATACTGAATAAAATAGTACCATTGCGTACATTATACCCATTCATGGATTTTTAAAATGATTAAATGTGTCT